AATAAAATACGATGCGCACTCCGTAATAATTAATAAATTATACGATATAATAAAGTTATATAGAATAACTTGTTATGCGAAACTTTCTATTCTGCGGCTTTCGATTCTGCGATGAGCAAAGTTCCACTAGGTTATCATATCCAGTCGGTTATCATATATTTATTATATATTTATATACGTTAATGCGCGCACACGCGATGAAATGTTTTGCGCATACATCGCGTTATTTTACGACCACGCGCGACAGCGTGTTGAGATTGAGATATGACTGGTCTCATAAATACGCGCCGAATTGTGTCCAAGTTGAAACCTGGCATTCTCGGGTTTAGAATGTAAAAATGAACGTAACAACGTTAACTCCACACTCAGTTGTCGAACAAATACCGCATTAGCGGTTTCCTTTCCTTCGTAAAATTAGCCTCACTCTCAAGGATCACTATTTTTTGACCGCAGGATAGAAAAGAGGACTCGGCAGCTGCTCCTGCGCGTCAAACGAGAGGCGTCGTTGTGTTTGTACCATTATATTCTTCGGGCCAACCTTTTACCGACATATTTATCGTCATCCTCGAGTTTACGATTCGTTACAGGCGCAAAATGTATATAGTTGCAAGGAACTCTAATACGTTCCATCTTCCCCTTTTTACAAATCGAATTTGATAATAATAACGAACATTTATTTCCTTTCAAAAAGTAATATATAATAATTAATTCAGAAATAAATATTTTTATCGGCTCTCAATATAAAGAATATAAGTATGCTGCCTTCTAAGCCGGGCAATAGAGCCAAGGAAACGATAATAATTAATGTTTGTTCTGATTAAACTTGATTTAATAAAAAAAAATATACAGTTACTATCTATGAATATTTGACATGTGTTTTTTTTCGAAATTCGTATTCTCCCAATAATACGCGTAGATATATTTAGGATAGGTCTAACATATGATACATTAAGGGATGACAGTCGAGAAACCGGAATATGTTCGAAACGGGAAACTTTTCGAGTATAAATTCTCCGATTGCAACCATGAAAGAAAAAAAACCGTTGAAAAGTTTCTTCCGACCAGATAGGCTAATTTTTCATTTAGCTAAAATGTTACCATCGCCCATCGACGCTACGCAATGGAGTACATTAATCAGTACTTATCGACGATGCTTAAGTGTATTCATTCGACGTTTTCCAGGACAGACAATGGCTAATCGTCGGAGCCACCTGTCCCTGTAATCTTACAAGGTGTAATTAACGAAGCGGCGTTAACATGTGAACTCGAATGGAATGGGTCAAAGCACTCACGAAAACTGTGTCTGTTCGACGTTTAATAGCGTGTCGTATATCGACGGTGATGCAACAGAGATATCCGGCTAGCGTCCCACCCGAAACGTCGTCATTATAATTAAAGGGTAATAACACCGCTATATGGGACGCATTTGACAGACGAGCGACCATAAAACCGGCCATGATTTCTTGACTAATTTAATGTTACTCTTGTGATTTTTTGAGATTTATACTTTCGATATAAAATATTACTATCTTAAGAATATTATATACATTTGATTTATAACTTTTGCATGAATATTTTATTTCGCAAAGTGATTGCGGGCTTAAATAACGCGGCGTTAATATTTATTCCAGACGTATATCTTTAAAAAATCAAGCCTCTATCAATGTTGGTTAAACATTTATGACGATATCTCAAATGCATATAAATCCATCATGGTATGAAATTTATGGAGGTGCCTTTTTTTGCGTGCATTCTTTTGCCACATCGATCGAAGTACAGGCCTTCTAAACTTTTAACGAGACGCCAGATGTTGCATAGTTTACTAAGCTATTGTAAACTATACGAAATTGAGTAGATATTACCGGATATAAAAGAAACAAAAAAACTTTACGTCAATAATGCATAAACGCGCGACATCACGTCCATTATTTATTTGTGTCGTTTCTATAAGAAAATGCAGACAATGAAAAGTAGTTACATTTTTTGTATCGCTTCGAGTTTATTACTTTATCACAGTCTGTATGCGTGTATGTACGTGTATATCGATTAGTGAGAATTCTAAAGCAAAAGATTTCAAGACAATCCGTGTCTGAACTGTGTGCAACTGTTGTTTTTACAGGTGTGTAAGTGTTACGCATTTTTATTCTCTCTCTGCGGATCTACAAATAGTCCGTGAAGTTCAGCAGTTGATAGCGGCAACCGACTCTCGGCAAAGGCGTTAGAAAAGCGTCGCGCAAACTTTTACTTCAAACTGCTTACTTCGTTACTACAACGGTTACCGTGCATCTGCTACATTTTTTATCACGCAGGAAAGCGATATCGCTTGTTTGTAACGTATTACAGATTTTATTTACCGATATTGCGAAATATTTTTTAATGAACGCCGAGATTAAAACGGGGAAGGAATACAACAAGAATATTATCCACTTTTCTAATATCAGTTTTTTTATAATTTCGAGTTTACCTGCGTAACTATCTTGTCTAAGATAAATATAAATAATGTAAATAATATCGAAAGATTTACAACACATATGCGCATACATAGGTATATATGCTTATCATGATAAAATCTGTAGACTTGTCGATAAATCTCACCCAATATTTTGCCTCTCAAGGATGAAATTAGAAAAAGAACTGATTTTTCATCCAGCTCATCAAACTCCTTTCTTTGCGACAAAATACACTGACAATGAAGGCTTTCGTCATTCAAAAAAAAACTCGACAACACAATTTAATCGTCGTCGGCAAAATATACGTAGATATAATTAATTTTAATGAAGAACCAAATAAGATGATGCATTCATGTCGCGTTTAAATTATTTCGCAAAATTGGTTTCACGTTGCTCTCTTTCAGTATATATTACCATTGTTATTATAAGATGATGAATAAAAATGAATAAGAATAAGAAAGACCTCCAATTATTTGTCCCAATACGTTAAAGAAATCTCGCTAATATAGCATCATAATGGAAGAAAAGATGTATACGTTATCGTAGAAAAATTGTATGATCATTCGGTATAAAAGCAAAAGCAGCGACGGCTTCTCGCGTCTTTTATTTTCGCTTCAGTGCACAATTTCTCTGAATCCCCTCTTTCCATGAATCACTGAGTCTCGATGTACCTATAGAGCGCAACGACGAACGAGAGACCAATGCATCGTCGTAGGTTTGTTGATGTACACGTATATAGATAGACACGAGTGCGTTCCTGATCTCGCGCACGAACGCACACATATACATACACATACATACGTGTGCGCAACATCAATGCGAGCAACGCACAGCTGAGGTAACTCCGAAATATCCTAATCGCTGTTTCCACAAAAAAAAAATTAAAACGTCTTCGTACAAAATTGATACGAGGTTGAATGTGAAAAAAGATTTAAAGAAAGTGTGTACTAAAAATGAAAATATATAAAGACGAGACGATCGTCCGATATAGAGTGCGTTAACACTGTATTAAAGCTGGATAGTATTATATTATATGGTTACAGCTACTTGAATTATTTGTCGTACATTGTAGGGTGTGTAACTTCACGCGTACGTTGATAAATAGATTACATGCATTATGCGTAAACAATGTGTAATCTATGTGAGAAAAAAACTTACAATGCCTGCGTGTTCTTATTCTTTGTTCTGCGAACACAAAGCGCTTTTAAGAAATAAAAATTTATCCTATGATTATTTGAAACTTGTCTTGTTGAGATAAATATTTCTTAATAATATAGGAAAAATAAATTTATTTATATTAAAAGTAAACAACATGTAAACATGTTGAGAGTTGCACGCACAATTTGCACGAGAATTTCTACAATATTTTTATTTAACCTACGCTGCGCGTACTATTTTTTTATTTGTATAATAATAAATATAACTATATAAAAATGTATCGCGATATAATTAATGCAGGTAGTAATTTTCACGACTAATAATTTAAACGTAGTACAGTGTTTGTTATTGTATATATCCGGTTCGACATAAAAAGCGAGTTGAATAAGTTGCATCGAACGACGTAAAAAAAAAAAAAATTTTGAATATACAACGTTATGTATTAAAATAAACCACAAAAAAATATATATGTACTTTTATCAACATACTCGCGCTAACCCAATTTAGATAAAAACGAACGGCGTTTTGGTTCTTCTGTTTTCACCCCAAAAAAGCAACGAAAAACAAATTGCAGACGAAAATTGTTATTCATTTAAAAAAATATCAAAAATTGTATATCTATTGATCTTTTAGTGATAGTAATATCACTAAATAGTATTAGTAATATCATTCACTTTTACAAATCGGTACGTCTAAATATCCAAAATGTGCACAATCGTTGAAAATAAATTCATTAAAATAGGTTTCTCTCCCCCAAAAAAATTAATTCGGTAAAAAATATACAACGTAATTTACGTGTTTGTATTAGCTCGGTAAACCGGAATTCTTGAAAGAGCGATAAAAGAATCACACAAAGCGAGTTTTTCCCCGAAATCCACAGCTGCGAGATTTTCTTCGAAAACTCGCTCGGTCGAGGTCGCGAGGGTCGAACACGATCAAATATTCCGCGACATAACGCGATCGTCTATTTTGCTCGCTAAAAGCAATTTTATGCTGCGAACATAATACCGGCGCGTGAATAATCCAGCTTTCAAAGCCAAAATTCTCATCGATCATTGTGTCGATCGCTTTTCACCGTCAGTTTTTCTCTTAAAAGATCGCAATGAAGATCGAAGAGATTCGGTCGATTATTCGAGGACGCCATTTTGTTCGAGTAACAACAAAAATTAACCGGTTACGTAAACTAATATTTTCGACAATACTTGATCTCATCGTGCATATTACACGATCTGTAATTCAACACACATAATAATTTACGAATACGAACTATTCATCCTCTCGCTTTACGCTGGTTTCGCGCATATTTCACCCTGGGGAGACGCGTCTCCAGAATCGAACGCGCCTTTGTTTCACGGAAGGAAGACAAAAACGCCGAAGAATGCAGACACTAACCTTGTTTCTGCTCCGATCCCCGGTAACGCCGTTCTCCCGGGCACAATGCAGCGACAAGACACCAGTCAGTAGACCTCTCCGCCACGCGATGTATCGTGTTTCAAGTAATCCAAATTCCTGATACAATTCCACTCGCGTACCCGAGTCCCCGAGTCTCACTGAACGCTCGCGCAATCACTGTGTGTCACTGCACTCTGAAGTTAGGCGCGCGCGGCGCGATTTTTCCACCGGAAATATTCCACTTTCATACACGTCCAACCGCGATTTCGGAAAGAAAACTCGAGACGCGATATAAATTAATTAATTTCAATGTCGCCGCTCGACTACGCGAAGGCTACGCGCGCGGTAATTAACAAAAACACATCGGCGGCAGCAGCTCGGTGCTCTGCCTCCACGTGGAAGCGAGCGACCGCGGTAACGCACGTCCGTCTCGTCGAAGCGGCGAACTGAAACTGGCGCGCCACCGCGCGACGCCGAGCAAGCGGAGCGGCGAGTTCCCCCTCCCTTTCTCTCTTTCTCTCTCTCTTTCTCCCTCTCGTCGCGCTCTAAACGACTCGCACGATATGCTCTCTCTCTAGTTCTGCACTCCCTTTCTTCGGTGCTGCACTCCGCGCCGCTCTTCTCCACAGTCCGTTACCCTCTCTGTGCCCCGTTCCCCACCTGTCGACCGCCTGACGTGCTGTTCCACGGCCGACGACGATCCCTTCTCTTCACGGACGATCTCTTATACCGGTCCACACAACCAACTCGATCCCTTTTCCAACTGCAGTCCGGCGCGAACATGTTACCGCGTGTGCCCTCGTCACCGTTTCCTCTCTCTACTCCCTCCTTTTTGTCGGGCGAACCACCCGCGTTATGGACCGTTGCGCATGATGCACGCAAGTTCGGATATCACGCACTTCTTCCCTCGTTTCTCTCTACACGCGCACCGACCGGCGTGCTGTTACGATGCTGTTTCATAATCAACGCTGGCGACAATCGATCAAAAATTGCCGACTCGCATGATTCAAATTTAAATTCGAGGCGCGAATTTTGTTCGAATCGCGCGCGCCCTGCAACGTAACTCCGAAAAGAGAGAGAGAGAGAGAGCCGGCGCGCCATAATAGGGAAACGCCGATAAACTCATTGTAAAGTGGATACTCGACCGTTAATCCGTGTCGATGAGAAGAGCGTTTTTGTCAGCCGATATTCAGCGCGACGCAGATGGAATCGGTTTTAATGGAGAGTTCGCGTAAAATAAATCGTTGCGCACTTTATAAATATATCGAGTTTTGCACGGACGATCATAGTAAGCTTCGCACAGCGTCAAAAAAGTTATATCGAAATATTTCAAGAGATAAATCTAGATCATTGAGAGAGAGAATATTTATACGTAAAGTTTTATCTGAGTTTATGTTATTATTGTACATTTATGTTATATTATATTCATTATATATTATAATATATTATTATGATGACCATTCATCTTTTATTTTAGAGATCAGTACTTTATTTCAAGTAGCTGTCCTTTAAATTTATTCATTTTTCGAAAGCTCAATTTTGTCTTTTAATATTTTATTGGGTATTTTAATATCTAATAATAGTAACATGAGAATTTACATGGAAACAACGGAATCTCTTATATAACGGAACCTTCAAGAAATAAATATTATCTTATTTGTTTCAACATAGTCGAAATCAGTTTCAAACTATAAGAATACATAGACTTTTGATAGTCACAAAATTATCTTTTTTTGCTCGTCGATCTTCATTATTATGATATATATTATATAATATATATAATTATTATAATATATTATATATTATATATCTAACTTGTATCTATCAAGACAAACAACGTGCAACGATTGTGGTAACAAGTGCGCTATATGCAACGAAATAATGGGATGCATGTTTCATATTTCGGTACAACACAGGGGATGCAAATATTATCTTATCCTGTTGATCATCTTTTTAAACAATTTATTATAATATATAGATAATACAGGTATATACGAAAATTAAAGTCATCATGATAATATTGTCGATGCATTTAGCAAACGCCAGTGCTTCATAAAGCGATAAATAATTGCTCGATGAGAGGGGCATTGTACTGTTTTTCGGTAATCAGGCGTGAATAACAACGGTTAATCGTGCATGCAACGCGTACGAAGGTTTATGCTTTGTTCTGCTTTTAATGTACCGAGGTTCGTATCGATCGAAGTATGTATTAGAAAAAATACATATATTGTATACACTACAAATGTTTCTCGAACTCGAGATTGTTCTGCATATAACCGCATACAAATTTATTAACATTTGTAGTAATATTTCGCTGTTAACAAGCACTGTTAAGAAACTTTTAAATATTTATAGAAGAAAGTATCCTCTTTTCATTCAAGATTTAACATGATCGTTCCACAACCGTAACACAGAGAGAATTTTCTCTTAGACTTTACCTTGAAAATCATGGTAATCGTGGGACACTATGGTATATTGGAAGAATTTTATATAAGAGTTTCTCTATTATGCAATAAGATAAAATATGTTCGATTAATTTTACTACGTACATATTAATATTTTTATTATGGTAAATATTAATCGGAGAAACTCTCATAAAATTCTTCCAATACCATATTGTTTCATGATTAGCACGATTTTCAGGGTAAATTCTAAGAGAAAATTCTGTTCAAGTATATATGTATATTAAACAAGGAAGCGGGAGAGAAGAGACGAAACGGGTATCTATGTGTCGCGAATCGTTTCTGCGGCATAAATTTTCCGAATGCACTCTAATTGACTCGTATACATTTAACTCGTACGGTAAATCATAACCGCACGTTACATACATATTATATATACCTATCTACACCTGCATCCGTAAAAATTCGCATGGGGTATAACGGTCTTTCGCGTCACGCTCAACCTACCGCATTACCGGAAGAGGGATTTCACAAGAGAGCCGACAGTTATGTCGTCGGGTTAGCATATTTAAATCCACGCACCACTGTCAAAGATGCAGATGCCGCTTTAGACGACGCTAAATTGCGTCCACAGTCGGACAAACGCTAGACCTATGTTTGCCCCGATAGTTGCCAATGACTAAGCTAACGGAGCCGGCCGTGTACCAGGAACTTGCAGAAAGGGACACGAACAGAAGATCCCTTAATTCTCTCTATTCCCTCCGCCCCAGGCTACCGTCCTATAGTCCTATAGTCCTATAGTCCTCCTATATCGACTTACCCTCCTTCCTCCTGTTCATCCTCGGCATCTCTCGCCTTCGCAATCAGCCGCGTTTGTGTGCTCGGACACCATTACCTTAATTAAGAGCGAAGTTTTCTCAAGCTGCCCGCGCGAACACTTCCTTAAACTAAGTTCTCTATTGATTTTATCTTAATATCTTTAAGTTCTTCGCACGGTTCTCCTCCTTTTATTCTTCTCCCTCTGCCGGAGACGCTACGTGCTGCGACTAAATGGCTTTACATGCATAAGACGTTCCCGTCATTAATGTCGCAAAACTTATCGTCGCCTTAATGAGACTTTCTCGTAACTCCATTTTTCTAAATATGACGCGCGACGCGAAGACTGTTTAAGAATTTTCTAATGTAGTTGCGCGTCAAGTTTGAAATTTCAGTCTTAAATGATTTACGATGCTACACTTTGCAGTGCAAAGTCAAGATGTTTTCATCATCAGGGAATGATAAAATCTTTATCCTCGAAAATCTCGAATTACAGAAAGTAGAAGGACCCTTATATACATATGTATACAATATAATTTCTTTATTATACATAATAGGTATATGTTACAACATATTTTTTTCACATGTCTCTTGTAAAAAATTTGGAAATACCATTATTGATTTAGAGAGATAATTTTTAACTGATTTTAATCCTAGTGTATGGCAATTGCTAATTGGATAATACTATTGACTCTATGTCAAACTTGTCCGTTCATAGTTTTTAATCCTGATTGACGTGGTCGCATTTTCTTCTCAACGCATTTTTCCTTTCTTAATCTTTCTTTGATAAGCACACAACAACTTAATACGTTTTCCGCATGTCTATTCGAATCTGTTCAACGACAATAGCCACCGTTCCAAAGATTAACGCCCGCTTATGCTTTTGTAATATCTAACATACCGCATTCTTTTCGGTCCAGAGTGAATCAACTGTCAACAGATAGAATTTCCAAGAGATGAAATGAAGATCGAAGAAGGGAAAGAATTCTCAAGAGTCTTTCAATCTTTCTTTTTTTCTCTTATTCTCTATATATACTCGATTAAAGACTATCAGCTTCTCGAGCATCCATTAACTACCACACACCGATACGCAGGGGCACAGACATGTACATACACACAATACATAAATATGCATGAAAAGACAGTTATTAATTCTGTAACATTTCATCTTTACCGTCTGCAATTTCGCAGTTCTAAGCAAAACTGCTTATTATACTTCAAACTGCTTATGATACTTCAAACGCTGCTCCCGTTGCTACCATCGACTTCACTCAAATTCCTGTACCGCTTTATTAAATCGTCAAAAATTTCATCGTCAATAATGTTTTACTTGTATTGCAATAAGAGCTCGAAGGCGTCGAAGCGAGAAAGAACGAAGCGCGCGGATGTCAAAATATCGAAGAGCGAATTATGAAATATCGTGATAACAAATTGAAAATTCTAGTTCTAATAATATATATCGGCGATTCCCCCGAAAGAGAGACACCGGTCAAGAGCAACAAGTGAAAGTATCAGTTCGCCACGAAGCAACGCAAGTCGGAAATCGCGCGAGTCGCGCATTATCTCTCGTTTCCCACTCTCTGCCTTCGTCCGGTATAATCAGCGGCGATCATATCCAGCCTTGAGATCACGCCTTGCCTTAACTTACTATTAACCGATATCGGGGTTTCGATCGGGATATCGTCGGTCAATGCAAACGACTTCGTTCAACGTATTTCGATCGAGGGCTCCGATGAGCTTGATGAATTCGGTCTCGTCAGCGTCGAGCTAGTGGTGAAACACGGCGCTAGCTCGCTCGGCTCTCGCTCAGGGGGCTCACAATGAACCGACCTGGACGATAAAAACTGGTCGAACAGGTAAGCGGTAGCGAAACATACAGGTATACATACCTGACGCCGGCTGCGAGGCTAAACACCTCAGAACGAGGTAGACGTCGTCCTAGACGTTGTCCTTCTGTTCGACACGAACACGTTTTCTTCGGCAACGTATTCGCGTGCGCTAACGAGTATGCGCGAGGAGGACTGTTATCTCGGTCTCGTCGCGTATGATTTACAACGACATTAAAGCCGTGGTTCGTCTTTTGTGCGTACGCTCGAGATGTAACGCACGATGATGATCCGACGTGCCGGATAGAATTGCGCCACTGAATGGATTCTCGCGAGATTAACTTGCCTTTGAACGAGGCATCAAAGAGACCTTTTAGATTCGCTTTGAA